GCACACGCACACACACACATGCACACATGCACACGCACACACACACACACACACACGTATGGCGACAGTAACATTTCTTTCACAGCACACATTGTGTGGAAGCAAAGAAAATGAATCGTAGAGAACAGAATGGTGATGGGAGCATAGGATGGAAAGAGCTAGTGTAAAAGGAGAATGTGAAAGAAGGAAGGGAAGCATAAGGATGAATTTATAGAGAAAGAAGGAAATGAAGAAGGGAAAGGACTGACAAATAGGAAGACATGTGGAAATCTGGGCAATCCCCAGCCCGTAAGCAGACACCAGACACCAAAAAGCCATATCTTATTCCAGGAAATGAGTCGGATAGGTCCACATGAGAATTAAAAAAAGATGATGAAGCCAGGCACAATGTTGTGCCCTCAGCACTTGGGCTGTCTCCACTCACTGATGGTCAGAAGAGGATATGAAGGAGCCACAAGCAGGTCTCACATATTATCTGCTCTAAAGCAGCTGACACGTAGGATCCTCTGGACGCTGACAAACATGGCTGCCACAGAAAATCCAAGCCGGCACTTCCTGCCTTGCCCTGGCTATTGATCTACAGCATAGCAAACCTCAGGGGATAGCTTGAGAGAGCCCCACAGATGACCTTGACCCTGGTTTTTCCTAGTGCTGGAATGTTGGAGCCTCCTTTACTTCACTGTGGAAAACAGTATCCCGTGCCCTCTCATTCATTCATCCCAAGACCTGAGGAGAAATCACACTCTGAGGTGTTCACAGGAATACGAAAGCAATTCCGCTTGATGGCAGTGTTGCACCAAGTATTCCTAGGATACTTCCTCCAGCTTTTCTCCCTCCGCTCTTCTCAGGGAGGAAAAAAAAGCCAACTACTTTCTACTTCACTACAAGGTAGTTGAATTCAATTTTGGACATTCTGCACATGTAGGTCTTGAAGTCTTTCTGTAAGGATCCCATACTCTGCAAGGACAGGGGAGAAGGGGGAAGGGGGACAAGGTTGTCACAGACCAGAGTCCTTACTCCACCATATCCAGTCACTTCATCACCCAGTATGTCACACCCTGAAGGTGTAAACGCCATATAGGAAAATGAAATATTTTTAAATGGTTTTTCAAACTCACAGAAATCTGCTTGCCTCTGCCTCCCGATTGCTGAGATTAGAGGCATGCACCACAACTGCCTGGTCAAGGAAAATGAAATTGAAAAACCCACCACTAGATGCAGGAGTC